ATAATTTTAGTTCTTCCTTTCCAATCTGAATGTACTCTGTTCTTGTTGAGTCTTTTTCTTATGAAAGGATATAGTATTTTGACAAATGCTCTGCATATAGTGAGATGGTCATGTGGTTTCTGGCCTTAAATTTATTAATATCAATCTGGTGTATTGTGTACTAATACAGTAAGTTTATAGGCTGAACCAATCTTATATTTTGGGGATAACCTTACTTGGTCTTGGTGTCTAATCTTTTTTATGTTTTGCTGGATTTGGTTTACTAGTATTTTGTTGAGAATTTCTGCATCCATTTCTAAAAGGAATATTATCTGGTAGTTTTCTTTCTTGTGATGTCTTTGATTTTGGTAGCAATGTAATACTGACCTTGTAGCTTGAATGGGGAGGTGTTTCCTTTTTTTTGTATTTTTGGCAAGAATTTATATTAATTCTACTTTAAAGTTTGGGTAGAATTCATCAACAAAGCCTTTGGGAACTGGCCTTCCTTGGGGAGTTTTCTGATTTACTTGTAGGTGTATTCAGATTTTTTTTTCTTCTTGTGTTAATTTCATTGATTTGTGTCTTTCTAGGACTTTACCTGGTTCCTCTAACTTGTCTATCTTGTTGACATAGAATTTTCAGAGTACTGCCTTATAATCCTTCCTTTTTTTTCTTTGTAAGATTGGTAATAATACTCCCTCTTTCTTTCTTGAATTTTAGCATCTGTCTTCTCTTTTCCTTTTAGATCAGTATAGTTAAAGATCGATTCTTTCAATGAACCAATTTCTGGTTTTGTTGGTCTTTTCTGTTGTTTTTCTGTATCTATTTATTTCTGCTGTGATATTTATTATTTCCTATCTTCTATGTTTTGAAATTTGCACTTTCTTGATATTAGCCTTACATACTATTATTTGACAAGTTTAACTAAAGTGTCACCCATGTCAGTATGTTTAGAAATAAAAGCATGAATTTACTGAAGAAAAGTGCCTTACAGATTCCACACTGGTTATGTTATTTTTAGCTTTATCATTGTCCCTTCTTTACAATTTTTTTCAATAAAATATAAAATATGTTAATATATTTTATTCTGCTGTAATATATAAATACCTGATTCTGCAATGGGAATTAGTTGGTGTGGGATTGACAAGCAGGAAAATATTAGTATATAGGCGATTTACTTTGGCTTATTTATGAATTGTTCTTGGCTAGAGAAGCCAGATTACTAGAGTAGAATTATAATCTTTAGCCAAAAAGAAATAAAAAATCCCTCAGTTCAATGCCTTCTGTATAGAGCAGTAATGCTCAGCTTTGTGTAATTTGCGGCTTGTATTGGGTTGGCCAAAAAGTTCTTTGGGTTTTTCCATAGCATCTTACGGAAAAATCCGAACAAATGTTTTGGCCAACCCAATAGAAGGTTTAGCAGATCTCTCTGTCTCCTGTGCCCACCTTCATAGCAGGCACACTGGCTGAAAACTCCATATCTGTCTCTTATCTCAGCTCCCACTGGTGCAGCTCTGTTTAGCATGTAATCTGCATTTCCATTCTTCTGTTGTTGTTTAGTCGCTAAGTTGTGTCTACTATTTTGCTACCCTATGGCCTGTAACCCACCAGGCTCCACTGCTCATGGGATTTCCCAGGCAAGAGTACTGGAGTGTTTGCCATTTCCTTCTCCAGGGGATCTTCCTGACCCAGGAATTGAACCCGAGTCTCCTGCATTGGCAGGCCGATTCTTTACCACGGAGCCATCTGGGAAGCCCACATTTTCACTCTATTTTTTAAATAACTCTCACTGTGGCTGCCTCCAGCCTTGCTGAGCTGTTTGCCTCAGAGGTCCAAATTATCTCCCTAGCTACCAATTACTATTTTTCATTTGTACTCTGGTTATAAAGTTTCATAGGTCTGGAGTGATCTATGCTTACTGTGATTTTTCTCACAAGTTCTGTTTTTATACTGTGATTTTATAGTGTGATTTTGCAGAAAATGAAGTTTTTTGAGTTACATAGATTGCATTATAGTGGCAATATATTTTCTGTGTTGCTAGAAGTCTTTTTTTTTTTTTTTTAAATTTCTGTCTATACTTACTAAAATACAAATGTCCTAACGTAAAACAGTGTAGTTCTTTTTGTGGACTGAAGTTGAAACTTCAAGAAGATAAAGCCAGAAATCTGAAAACAATAACAGAAACAGACAAATCTTATTTATCTTGCCCTGATTGTTTGTACATTAGACTTGTGCGTTGTGGGAGGTGTGTTTGCATGTGAAGAAATGTATTGGGGGGATTTAATGAGAAAATGTAAAAGGATTTAAAACCTCTGATGTAAAGTGACTACAAAGGCTAATTATATGTATCTTCTTCAAACCAGCATATTTTACATCTTAAACTTTCATGAAATTGTATATAAAGTACATCTTAATAAATAAATAAATAAAGTGAAGTGAAGTGAAGTTGCTGAGTGGTGTTTGACTCTCTGCAACCCCATGGACTGTATAGCCTATGGAATTCTCCAGGCCAGAATACTGGAGTGGGTAACCATCCCCTTCTCCAGGGGATCTTCCCAACCCAGGGATCGAACCCAGGTCTCCCACATTACATGTGGATTCTTTACCAGCTAAGCCACTGGAGAAGCCCAAATAAATAAAATTCTCCCTAAAAATGTCATTAGAACCTCTTATTTTTCATTGCTGAGACAGATAGTTAAAATTCTCCACAATTTAAATAGTATTCTGTTATTTTGATTTTGGTCCTGAAGTGATTTCTTAAAACGTTTTTGGAGCCACTTAAAGAAGAAAAAAGATCATAAGACTTTGTAGAGCTTCTCCCATCCTGATATTCATTTTATTATTGGGCATCATGTGTTATAAGCTATAAGTCTATATTCTTTCTTCATATCATTTCCAGGAGTGTTACATTTTCTGTCTCTTCTGCATTTGAAAGTATGAGGTTTGGAAACAGAAAAGCTATTGATTCTGTAAATTAAGTACATTCACATACATTGCAACCTTAATTTGTAGGAAGCCTTCTTGTCTCCTCAAATCACCGCCTACTGCCATTTAAACACACTGAAATCATGTATGTGAATTTTATAGGAGTGCACTTGCCTACAAACTGTGTAATGTACTAATGCCAACCTTTCTGGCATCTTCTTACTAAAGGTCATAAATACACAAAGTGCCATTCTGTGAATAAGGAAAAGCTGGATATTAGTTTTAGTGTAAACAAGTAGTATTGCTTCAATTATCTATATAGAAAGCATAACAGATTAAACTGAACATCTATGGAAAATTAATAATATACAAAGGATCATTTCTGAATTTCTGATTTTTGTGTTTTATTTTGTCTGTTCTCTGGGAGTTTCTTTTATATAAGTATGTGTGTGTGCTCAATTTTGTCTGATTCTTTTGCAACCCTGTGGACTATAGCTCACCAGGATCCTCTGTCCATGGGAATTTCCCAGCAATACTGGAGTGGGTTGCCATTTCCTCCTCTAGGGGATCTTGCTGACTCAGGGATCGAATCCACGTCTCCTGCATCTCCTGCATTGCATGTGGCTTCTTTACCTCTGAGTCACCAGGGAAGTCCTTATATTAGTATAACATTGATCATCATCAGAAAGGTTGAGGACTTTGGAGATATTTTTAGCAAAACAAGAGAAAAAGAAAAGAGGAGACTTGGAAGAAACAGGATCATCGTCTTCAGCAGTTTCTGAACAACTATGTGGAGAGGAGGAGGCAGACATGTTCCTGATGTGTGAATGGATTATAAGCTTACGAGGCCAGGATCTCAGTCTTCTGCATAATAAATCACCTGAAGTTAACAAAATATGCCCTCAACCCTCCATGTTGGGGACATTCGATATAATAAATATTTTTGTAAGTTTAACTACTCATACATTAACCAACTAGCAAGAGTCAAGCTTTGGAGGTAGAGTGAGTCAGACTTTTGCTCAAATAGTTGATTATTTCTTATAATTAAAGCAGTCAGAGAGCAGAATGAGCTGCCATCAGAAGTAGCAATCTCCCCCACAGGACAAATGTTGAAACTGAAGTTGACTAACTCTCATGAATGTATTACTGATGACTATAACACTGTCTCGGATACCAAAAGGTTTTCTCACAGTACCACAGGGATTCCCATCCCCAACCCCCACCTCCATGATTTTAGAGGTCTATAACAAAAAAGTTTTAGGCTAGAACTTAGCTTGGGAGAATTCCAAGAACAGTGATACTGTTTAAGCTACTCCTGGAGAAGCTCCAAGCCAATGGAGATGAGAAGAAGAAACATACTGAGACCTTTGGCACATGTGCTTTGAGCCAGGGAACATGTTAAACTGGAACGTTTGAGACATTGCATTCAAATGCTCGTGTCTGACTACATCACCACATGATTTGAAATTAGGAGCTTGTGGTTAGTATCTTTTTGTGTGTCTATATTACAAAGATGATCCAAAGAATTACTGATGAATCATGAAAACTGTGCCTTTTCAAGGTCAACTACAATGGCTCATTTCTCTTAACTTCCTTCAGGTCTTTGCTAAATGTCTCCTTACCAGTGAAGCCTTAACTGATAACCTCATTTAAAACTGCCATGCTCTCCCTATGCTGGAATAAACTATGTCCCTTCACTGCTTCAGCATTCTCTTTGGCACTTATCAGCATTAAACTACTGCGTCTCATTTGTTTATTTCTGATCACTTTCCCTCCACTAGAATATAAGCTTCATGAGGGCAAGTATTTTCATCTGATCTGTTCATTGCTACACCCCTGTCTTACAATGCTTAGCATACTATGGATACTCAATAAAATGTGTTGAATTAAGCTAACAGGGAAACACTGTGCCCTGCCATTTGTAGGCCATTGCTTACCTAAGTGCTTAGTCTCTCCCATCAACTGTGAATCTCTTGCAAGGCCATTCACAGAAATGAAGGAAAAGCATGCATTTGAGTTTCCATATACTACTGATGCTATTTGCATTACTTCTCCTTTGTCTCATTGAGGAAAATAATGGCATGGGAAGAAAGGAGACGAGGATATACTGAACACAGTGTACGAGGCATTGCGCAGAGTGTTTTGTATCCATCATGTCATTTACTCCTCCTTACAGTCCCATGAGATAATTATTATAATCCCTGATGATCTAGATAAATTCAAGTCTCAGAAAATTTAAGAAGGGAACTCCCCTGACAGGTCCAGTGGTTAAGACTTCTCCTTCCCATGCAGGGACTGCAGGTTCCTTCGCTAGTCAGGGAGCTGAAAGCCCACATGCCTTGAGTCCAGAGAACCAAAACATAAAGTAAAAGAAATATTGTAACAGATTCAATAAAGACTTTAAAAGTGGTTCAAATTAAAAAAAAAAAAAACTGAAGAAACTTGTTCATACTCATACCATCTAGCAAAATGAAAGAACTAGGTTTCAAATCCAGGTCTGACTCACCGATAAGGAGAGCTTCCTCTCAAATAGAGTATTTGCGTCACTCCTTGATCAAAAATTCTCTTATATGCTCACATTCCACAGAGTTCAGATTATTTTTTTTGAGATACAGATCCTACTCACCCAGAAAACATCTTCATTTATGGATCATTTACACATAACCGGCAATTATTTTAATCTCAGCGTGTAAGAGTCCATCAAGGAAAGAAGAAAGGGAGCTTTGGGGTTCATAATGAGAGGGGACTTTTTTTAAACTTGTCTACACATGGTACACAATTCAAAAAGGACCAAAGTATAAACAGGAAGAGCCCCCTAAAGATTACTCAGTGATTTTGTGTCTGATAGTTGGTTGGGGCCTTCTTGTTGGCTGAGCGGTAAAGAATCAGCCTGCAATGCGGGCAACATGAATTCTATCCCTGGGTTGGGAAGATCCCCTAGGGAAGGAAATGGCAAGCCACCCCAGTATTCTTCATGAGAAAAACTCCACGGACAGAGGAGCCTAGCAGGCTACAGTCCACGGGATCGCAAAGAGTCAGGCAGGACTTACTGACTAAAGAGCAATGTAAGTAGTGAGCATTTGGTTGTTCTGATGGGTATGTGGCAAATGTCCTGTTGAGGAGTATTTTAACACAGATGCTGGATATTCTTTTCTCTTTTTCACCCATCAGCCAGTTACTTCCCCAAAGCTCACACTTAGCCTCACATAAAGACAAAATGGTTGCTTGTAATGCCACATGCCCTGTGTAATTATTGCCTGTGGTAACCAGGCAATCTTTATGAAGCTCTTACTGTACAATTTTCTAATCTCACTTAACAGTGATGAGTTTTGTGCACTAATCTGCATAATGCCCTCTTGATTATATTTGCTGGATGTGCATTTCAATGTACTGGCATTTAGGTTAAACATTTCATAGTTCTCATTTCATTAGTAGGCTTTTCTTTCTTTTTTTTTTTCTGTCTATTTTTTTGGCTATGCCAGGCAGCACTTGGGGTCCTAGTCCCCTAACCAGAGACTGAACCCACGTCTCTTGCAATGGAAGCGTGGAGTCCTCATCTCTGGACTGGCCATGGAAGTCCCAGTAGACTTTTTAAATGTACCTTCCTGTGAGAATCTGGTTTCTGAGTGGGAAGGATATCCTCACTAATTCTTCCTAAGAACGTTATGAAGGGTAGTGTGTACAAAGTGAGTTTATCATTGTCAAAGAGTGAAAGAAGAGACTTAGGAAGGGTAATTTCAGGCCATCGTAACATAGCCCTTCTGCAGCCAGGGTAGTCGGACCTTGCCCCTGGTTGAGATGCTCTGCACTAGGTGATGGGATTTAGGGAAGGAAACCCTGGATTCCAGTCCCTCAGCTTACTGACTCTGTGTCCTTTCTTGGTCAGGAACCCTAACTCCTCTAAACTTCAGTGTCCTTCTTTACAAATTAAGGGCATCATAATGCCTCTCCCCTGTGGTTGGTATAAGAATTAAGCTGTATAATACATCTTGTATGTTTAAGAACAGTCTCAGGAACCAGAATGTGTTGAATTGAACTGTGCTGTTTGGGCAAGAGACTAACACACCTATGCCTCTTTTGTGTCCTCTGCAAAATGGGGATAATTATAGGATCTTACTCAAAAGTTACTCAAAAAGTCCTGAATATTTATTGGAAGGACTAATGCTGAAGCTCCAATACTTTGGTCACCTCATGCAAAGAACAGACTCATTGAAAAAGACCCTGATGCTGGGAAACATTGAAGGCAGGAGAAGAAGGGGATAACAGCAGATGAGATGGTTGGATGGCATCACCGACTCAATGGACATGAGCTTGAGTAAGCTCCAGGAGTTGGTGATAGACAGGGAAGCCTGGTGTGCTGCAGTTCCATGGGGTCGCAAAGTTAGACATGACTGAGCAACTGAACTGAGCTGAACTGAATGGGGATTTGTGAAGAGAAATGGTTTCCATGTAAACTCAAATTTTGAAATCCAAAGGTGCCATGATATAACCAAAAGGGCATGGGATTCATCTTCAGCCTTGGAATCTCATCACCTTGGGCTTGATCTCAGGCAAGTAACTGCATAGCATCTCTGTTTCCCCATCTGTAATGTGAGGACCATATATCCCCTCTACCTATCTCACCAGGATACTTAAAACTGTTAACAGAGGTAATATATAGGAAAATGATTTGTAAGCCATAAAATTAATATACAGATATTAGAGTTATGGGTATTCTGAGAAGCAAGCCAAAGATTCCAAGTAAGATACTAAATGCTTTTCTTGCCAACTATATATCCATGTTCATTGTTAGACTGGATGGATCTTAATCTTATCCATTGAATTCATTCTGAAAAATACAGGATAGAATGCTTTAGATTAGCCCTTTAGAACAGAGGATCTAGCAAGTGTATCAAGTGTGTGCTCGGTCATGTCTGACTCTTTGCAACCCCATGGACTGCAGCCCACCAGGTTCCACTGTCCACAGGATTTCCCAAGCAAGAATACTGGAGTGGGTTGCCATTTCCTCCTTCAGAGGATCTTCCTGACCCAGGGATTGAACTTACATCTCCTGCATTGGCAGGTGGATTCTTTGCTGTGAGCCACCTGGGAAGCCTTCTAAGTGAGTCAATAATTGATTCCAAAATCTTATCCTTAGAGTAATCTTATCCTTAGGTCAGTAGAGCTGAAAGCTAAACAGATAGGATTAATCCTGTCCTATGTTCTCATACAATCACCCTAATTCTCAGATTAGACACTGATGTACCCCATCTCTTCTTTGCCTGTCTCTCTACCCCTTCCATTTAAGATATCCAGACATATCTCCAACTACAGCCTTGTCCAAAGCATAGGGCAAGGGGAGAAGAATGGTGAGCATTCTTACCTCCAGCCTTTGTAGGAAACGTGAAGTACATCCCTCTAAATTCTGTTCATTAGGGAATATGAAGTGCTACATGATTGTTTTTTAAAACAAAATATTCCAGTAGCCCCAAGAAGAAGAGTGCAACTGTAAGGGGCTCAGCTTATTGCTAAGAGAAGTGTAGCTGATAAAATTCTCTTGCAGATGGCGTAAAGAGTCGCCCAGTTGCAACCCTTCATTTTAGTACAAGGAGTCACCTTGATACATTTCCTCTGTATGCCTGAAAACAAACCATTTATTGGAACTCTGAGTGTTCCCTAGACTCAGAAACCCAAAGATGTTTCACCATAACTCACCATGGACTTAGGTCATCTCTGAGATGATGTGACTTCCAGGTCCCTGAACATACTTAGAGTGGACAGGAGCAATGGGGGATTCTTCTGATGAGAAGGTGATGATGATGTGTCCCTTTATTAATAGAAAAATGATGCTACCTCCGACTCATTCGCAGAGTGATGAGTGTTTTTCATTGAACTCATGGCTGGTGATGTTGTGCTGAACCGTTTGCCATCTTTGCCTCATTGCTTTCAAGTCCAGTGGTCGGGGAGTGTGAGGCAGCTGGCTTACTTGTGGAGTTCACGCCGGAGGTTCAGAAACTGTGAGACAACTGTGTTTGCAACTGTGAGACAGGGACAGGCTGACTGGTTCTGCACGGAGGCAGTGACCCTCGGCATCTGTGAGCTGTTACTTATCACTGTGGAGCTCTCTGGCTCATTGCGGAAGAACTGAGAGACAGCACTTAGATCCCTGCCGAGCTGATCACCCTAAATTAGCTTCCGTGGTCTGGAGGTCGGTGCAGGAGCGGGGATTCTCCAGAGTCTTGGGAAAGTGTGTGTACGGGGGTGAGGAGAGGGAAAGGGTCTCTAAGATGGGAAGGAGGTTCAGTTAATGCCTCCATGAAAAATAGGAGTGTCCATCCCTAATTCATGCTAAGAAAGCATAAACTCCCTGAGCTGTAGGCTGTTTCTGTAGAGCCATTTGAGGACTTGAGCTGCTCCCAGAATGCAAAGGGGAGGTGGGCCAAGCAGGTCTCAGGTAACCCCCTGACTCCCCCCTTCCCCCTTAGCTTTTTCTAAGAGATGAGCTTTAGAATCAACTTCTCTCTGTCTCTGTTTCCTTCTTGTGTAACCTGGGTGATGACATTGACTCTCTTCACAGGAAGGCGCTAAGTGAGGATTAAGTGAGTAATGAGAGCGAACTGCAAGGGTGATGGAATGCTCAGTAAAATCGCTGATGGACGACTCCCTGGGGGAGGGACCCTCCGATGATCTTTTTAACCGGGTCTTCCCAGCGGTGTAACACCACTAGGTCTAGGGGCTCCTCAAGCCTTAGCCCCCTGAACCCTTACCTCTGAGCAGCTTTTACCTGTTTGCTGAAATGATTCCTTGGTTCTGCCCACGACAGGCAGCAGCAGCAGGACTCATTCTCCTCTGTCTGGGGAAAGACATCTAGGAGACAGGAATGTTGGCCAAGTTACCAATAATGCCTTTCATGCCCATCCTGAGTAGAGCAGCTTTTCAAAAAAATATTCTTTCCTGATCATACCTTTTACAGGCTTTCTGGAGGACAATTTAGTAAGAGATGCATTCAAAATTCTTAGAAATGTGCATGTCCTTTGCCTGAGGAATTCTATGTTCAACACATCACCATATGTCTTCTAATTTACTTTTCTGCACTCTAGAGTGTATGCCTTCAAGAGAGAATTTAACTACTTTTGGACTTTGAATGAACCAGTTGCTTACCCCATCTGTCCACCTGAGTGCCACCGGGCTGAGGGATCGACCTCACAATGGGCCACCGACCCTCCACATTGTGCTTATTCTCTGGTTGTGGATGTGTTCATGGAAATCCGCATATTTGCCCAGAATCATGGAGATGTAGAAAAGCTTGAGTGATCATCGTCCACACTTTCTATTTATAGACGAGGAATCTGAGACTCCAAGAATACAAGTGTCTTACCCACTTGTTCATACCTATTCAAGGCCACAGAAGGAATGAGAACCCAGGGCCTATAATTCCTAACTGGGCTTTTCTCTAGTCATAGAAGCTGAACAAGTGGAGAGAAGTCATTGTAGGATGAACCTTTATAAGGTAGAAAAAGAAATCATGTTTGTACCAGGTATCATAGTACTCCAGAATCCACTGTAGGAGTATCAGCAGCATAATATTCTGCATAATATAGAGGGTGGGGCCATGTACCTCAATTCAGTCTAGTTTTGTATCTGAGGAGTGTAAAATTCTAAAATAAAAGGAAGGAACCGTATCAGTCACTCAGTGAAGCCTTAATGTACGGTGGGCCTCTATAGTTGATATTTACTAGGGCAGCATGGACAAGTGGTAACTAAATGCTAAGCTGTTTATTGATGCATACTGTAATGGTTAATTTTATGTGTCAACTGGACTGGGCCACAGGGTGCCCAGACATTCAGATAAACATTATTCTGGTGTCTCTGTGAGAGTGATTCTGAATGAGATTAACGTTTGAATGGCTGGACTGATGAGTAAAGCAGATTGTCCTCCCTGGTGTGGGTGGGTCTCATCTAATCAGTTGAAGGCTTAAATAGAACAAAAGGGGTGTGTAAGAGGGAATTCCTGCTGCCTGACAGCTTTTGACTGGACATCCATCCTTTCTAACCTTCACACTCAGACTAAGGCAGAGGCTCTTTTTGGATCTTGAGCTAGTTGGGTTTTGAATTGGAAATTATGCCATCAGTTTTCTCTGTTCTCAGGCCTTTGCACTCAGACTAGATAGGACTACACCATCTTCTCTCCTGGGTCCCCAGCTTGCTGACGGCACACCTGGGGATTTTTCAGCTTTCATAACCACATGAACCAATGTCTTATAATGAATCTCTTCATATATATGTATATATATATATATATACTTATATACATATATATTTATAAATATATGTATATATATATTTAATATATATATTTTAAATCCACATTTAAATATAGAGTATATATTTAAATGTTTAGGTATTTAAAAATATGTTTACCCACACACATCCAATTGGTTCTATTGACCTGGAGAACTCTGATTAATACAAGTATGTTTTTATACTTAATCCTTACAAAGAACCTCTGAGATAGATACTGTTGTAGTGGCTATCATTATTATTGTTACTGTATCTTAAACGTGAGAAAGTTACACTCAGACTGGTTAAGTCACTTGCCCAGAGCTTCACCCTGTGTCTGGAAGGAGCCTGAATTTCCCCAGAATCCTGCTGTTTCATGCTCATGACACACTCTCCTAAATGTGTCTTCAAAGTCTTAAGCATATGAGTGTCCTTTGACATAGCTATCCAATTCTAAGAATTTACCCTAAGGATTAAGCGTGAGTGTATAATTATAATGATGCATCTCTAAACATTTCTAATAGTAAAAGCTTTTGAACAACCTAAATACTAAAAAGTAGGTGATTGGTTACATGATCTATGAATGACAGCTTTTGACTGGACATCCATCCTTTCTAACCTTCACACTCAGACTAAGGCAGAGGCTCTTTTTGGATCTTGAGCTAGTTGGGTTTTGAATTGGAAATTATGCCATCAGTTTTCTCTGTTCTCAGGCCTTTGCACTCAGACTAGATAGGACTACACCATCTTCTCTCCTGGGTCCCCAGCTTGCTGATGGCACACCTGGGGATTTTTCAGCTTTCATAACCACATGAACCAATGTCTTATAATGAATCTCTTCATATATATATATATTTAATATATATATTTTAAATCCACATTTAAATATAGAGTATATATTTAAATGTTTAGGTATTTAAAAATATGTTTACCCACACACATCCAATTGGTTCTATTGACCTGGAGAACTCTGATTAATACAAGTATGTTTTTATACTTAATCCTTACAAAGAACCTCTGAGATAGATACTGTTGTAGTGGCTATCATTATTATTGTTACTGTATCTTAAACGTGAGAAAGTTACACTCAGACTGGTTAAGTCACTTGCCCAGAGCTTCACCCTGTGTCTGGAAGGAGCCTGAATTTCCCCAGAATCCTGCTGTTTCATGCTCATGACACACTCTCCTAAATGTGTCTTCAAAGTCTTAAGCATATGAGTGTCCTTTGACATAGCTATCCAATTCTAAGAATTTACCCTAAGGATTAAGCGTGAGTGTATAATTATAATGATGCATCTCTAAACATTTCTAATAGTAAAAGCTTTTGAACAACCTAAATACTAAAAAGTAGGTGATTGGTTACATGATCTATGACAGAGTTACTCAGTGACATAGTACATTCATTACAAACTATGCTTTCAAAGACTATTTACTTACGTGGGTAATCATTCACAAGATATGACTATTAAAAGCATGTTATAAGCCTAAGGAAACATGATGACTAAATATAATGTGATATTTTGCATGGAATCCTGGAAGTGCATTTACTTATCATGTTTCCTTAGGTTTATAACATGCTTTTAAGCTGGAACAGGAAAACTAAAGTAGTAAAAACTGAAGAAAACTGAACAAATTCTAGACTTTAGTTAGGGATAATGTGTCAAAATTGGTTCATTAATGGTGACAAATATACTGTATACTAATAGTGTATTAATTATATTATTATGTTACATAGTAATTGATCATTATATCAATTATATTATTCTATTAGATTAATTATTAATTAATAAGTATATTAATTATTAACAGGATACTAAATAAGGGAAAATGGGCTTAAGGTATATGGTAATTCTTTCTATTATCATCACAATTTTTTCATATATCTGAAACTATTCTAAAATTTTGAAATTATTTTTAGACAGTTACAAGGATACCAGGAAGGTATCCTCTTTGTAGAGAAAAAGAATTCATGTATAAGTGCATTGTAATAATGAGAGGGAAGAAATCAAAATGTTAACAGGAATTACTTTGGATTGGTGAATGTGATAATTTTTGTTTTTCTGTTTTCCAAGTTTTCCATCTTGAATGTGCATTTTTATCTCATTTAAAGAAAATAATAAATGCTGCTTTAAATTGATCACTCCCATTTCCTTCCACAGTGTCTGAAACTCTGGCCATTAAAATGCTCCTTTAATTTAAAGATAATTAGAAAATATATTCTCTGAAGAATAACCCTTTAGCACTTTATTCCATATTATTGCATTTGCATGGATTAGCTGGGCAAATAAACTGATTTGGGAAAACAGACAAGAGTGTCTTCAGAGAGTCTGTGGAGCAGAGCATCAGCAGCGGAGAGGGAAGACCATGCGCCAGGACCTAGCACTGTCGACCCTGAGCCAGCTAAGGACTTCAGTGATTCTCAGAGGGCAGGACACCTTTACCTGTGCACAGGTGATCAAGGTGTATACAGTATGATTTCTGCTTAGGTGCAATGTTTTCCCGTAGTTTGATTCAAGACAAGAAGTGCTGTTTTTTGTTTATTTGTTTAACCAGAATAGTTCTCCTAATGCAGACAAGTCTTAGATCTGAAAACATACCTTCATTGGACTCACTGTGTTGTAGAGAGGGCTAAAAGGGAGTAAAAAGCTTAGTTTCTAATTTAAACCTGCCACTAATTTAACATGTGACCATGGAACAAACCCCACCAAGCTTATGTTTTGATGTCCAACTCTTTGTGACCTCCGTGGACTGTAGCCCACCAGGCTCCTCTGTCCATGGACTTCCCAGGCAAAAAAACTGGAGTGGGTTGTCATTTCCTGCTCCAGGGGATCTTCCCAACTTAGGTACCTCATCACGAAAATGAAGAATCTGAAGAAGATCACTTGTTTTCACACTGTGTCTTAGGAAGTCCTGAAAGCTCCTTCAAAGTCCTAGAGGGGCCAGGTTTGGATTAGAGTCTTGGACATTTTACCTGCATTCAACCAAAGTACTTTAACACTTACGTGAGCTACGTCTCAGACTTCTGTATACAATTCTGTTTGAGAGCAGGGGTTGTGTTGAACTCGAATATCCGGTGATCCTCAGATTCTGAAAAATGGCTTAAAGGGAAATCCAAGTTAAAAATCAATTTTTTCAGACTCATTATCCATATGGTCAGAAGAGAGACAATGGCTACCCAAAGGAGCAAAATCAGATTGAGGTGGTTTCAAAAGTAAGATATTCTGCCAAGAGAGTCTCTGAAGCATTCCTTTCTCTCTCTGTCAGAGGTGATGTGGGAGGGCAATTTTTTTTTCAGGCTACTCTGTTATGATGTTGCCTGTGAAAGCCTTCAACCCAATCCTTCTGATTCACAAACTAGAAGGACAACCCAAGTGAGTGACAATCCAAAACTTTTTGCAACCTTGTACTGAGGAATCAGTATTTAGAATGGCAAAAATTTTTTTAAAAAGAGGCAACAAGCAGGAAAAATACAGTGGGAGATTTATTGCCCTTACAAGTTAAGGAGGACCCCCAGGTTACTCTCATTTTGAACAGAGGTGGTCTGAACTAGTTAAGTCAGCTTCCAGCGGAACAGATGGGTCTTGTGTTTTTCCTGACATTTCAGATCTAACCCTAATGCAGATGAGCCAGGGCTGGAGAACCAGTGGACAGAGCTAGCCATGGTAGTGCTTCCAAAGATCCTGAAACTAATTCAGCCACTCTGAGCCCTTCAAGGCAGTGATGCCCAGGAGCCTGATAGAATGTCTTAGGACTTTGGCCAATGAAAACAGACCATGTGTCACCACACAGGCCCTCTTGATCCAAAGTGGGCTGGGCTCAAGATTCTAAAACCTTCACTTGTATAAATAATCCCCCTCTTTTCTCCTAAACCCCATGACAATTATTAGAAAGAACAGCTATATTTCAATAGCAGGAGAAGGGTAAGAAGAAATGCTGTTGCCAAAAGTCTTGGTGGGTTCCCGAAACAGATAAATTAAGATCAATCATATATTCCTCAGCAAATTAAAGCATCTATTGAAGGAAAGTATTTGACAAAACTCTCCTGTATTGGATCAGTTTTCTGTAGTGTATTTCTACGGGGAATATGTTCTATAAATGGCAGATTTTACTTTACAAAAGGAGGTGTGAAGGGAAAGAATTTGCAAAATGCACAATCAATTTATATTTAGTTGAATGTTTTGAATTTGACATTCTCTTCAGTTCTTTCCTTGCTTCTTTCTTATATCTGAATCATTGTGTTTATTATGTGAAGGAAACAATTGTTGTTTAGTTGCTAAATTATATCTGACTCTTTTGCAATCCCATGGACTGTAGCCCCACCAGGCTTCTCTGTCCATGGGATTTCCCAGGCAAGGATACTGGACTGGGTTGCCATTTCCTCCTCCAGGAGATCTTCCCAACTCTGGGATTGAACCCATGTCTCCTGCATTGGCAGGCAGGTTCTTTATTTCTAGCCACCAGAGTATCCTGAAGGGAATAGTTTAGCCCCATGTTTATTTGCTTGTAGACTTGTCAGTATCTCTAACAGGAAAACTATATATAAACATGTATACTTAAAACCATATAAAGTTCATAGAAACAGCTACAAATTCTCTAGTCTTTACCTTTATACATATTCCCAGGTTTCTGTGTTTATTCCAATTTGGCCTACACTTTTTTTCTTTTAATTTTCCTTGCATCACCCCCCTGCCCAGTCCCTGCAACCTTCATTCTCATTCCATTTGATCCCTACATCACAGTCCATAGTTTTTGCATCCTGTGTGTTAAATTTACTCACGCTATTGAAAACTATGGCTGGCCAAGTACAAATTAACAGAATTATAGACAGACCCTTGCACACCACCTCTTTATTTAGTTTCTGCTTCTGCCGATTGCTAATTAGCCTGATAGCAGAGAGATTACTTTGTGAACTCTAATAGGACAATGACCAGGGTGACCGTATAGACTACTTTCCTGAGCAGGTTGCCAAAAGATCAGCATAGCATTGTGGTGAAGGCTCTGAAACCAGCCTGCTTGGGTTCACGTGATGACTGCGCCACTGACTATGTAACTGCTTGAATAGTAATTTATCCACTTTAAGTTTCATATCCATCACCTGGAAAAGTATATAATAATACTTCATGTTATCCGAAGTATTAAATGACCTTGAGATAATAAAAGTGTCAAGTGTTACAGACTCTACTGACATTTGGATAATTACCTTCTTCCTCCTTCCTTCCTTCCTCCCCCTCTCCTTCCCTTCCTTCTGCATTCCTTTCTTCCTCCCATCCTTTTCTTTCCCCTGCTTCTTGGTCATTTGTTTCTTCTTCCTTCCTTCCTTTCTTTTTCTCTCTTTCCTTCCTTCTTCCCTTCTTCCTTCCCTTCCTTCCTTTCTTCCTTCCTTCCCAGCCCATTTCCTGAGAACCTACCTGGGAACACTAACAGAATGGATGTCTAAGGCAATGGTTCGGAAGTGTGGTCTCTTCACCACCACGGGCAGCATCGCTGGGAACTTGTTAGAAAAGCGGGTCCTCTGGCCTTACCCCAGACCGCCTGAATCAGAAACCCTGGGGTTGGAGCCCCGCTCTCTTGTGTTTTAGCCAGCCTGACAGATGATCTTGAATATGAATATTCTGGTGTGAGGTTTTAAGTCATGCAAATGAATCTCTGCCTCCAGTTAAGGTAAAAAGGGAAAGACCTTGGCTTACACCGCCATTGGGAAGAGCGACAGGACGTGGAAACACTGTTAGAATTACCAGAAAAGCTTGGTCTTGAGCAGCTCAGTCTGTTGGGGGCGTGCCTTCTACTCAAGATGTAAATGAGATGGAAAAACAGCACTAGTATCAGCTGCTCTGGAATTATTTAGTCACTCTCAGGTAACTAGACAGCCTGGGAGTGTTGATCAAACATGCTCCTGGGTAACTGGCAGTGGAAGGTGTGAAGTCTTCCCAGTTTAATAAGTATTAGAATACGATGGCAAGAACTGGTGAGTAACAGAGAGCAACTAAATGCCCGATCTTTCGTTGTCTTCCTTGAGGGATGTATTTCTTGTTTTCTGGATAGTATTGTAAAAGAAAATGTTCTCAGAAGGTGAGATCCAAGAGGAGACCTGTCTGGTACCATAACGACCATGACAATATTAGCATACATTCAGATACACAGAAGACTCCATGGAACCTTCATGATCAGTGGTTATATACAATGTTCTGTTGACTACTACCCCTCACACATGTCACCATCTAATACATGAACATTATTCTTTTTCTCTTTTCTGTCTGAAAATAATTTTAATTAACTTACACACATACATATACACACAAACAGAAATGAATAAAACTGCTGTATGTTGACACAGAACCAAAGAGCTAAAAGACGGTGTCAAACCCGATAAATGAGAATAGGGGTCAATGATTCAGAAATGTTTACGTATCAGCCTTCAGGAGACTACATAGAATCGTGGTCAACAACATAAGTCTGATACCAAACTCTCTGGGTTTGAAAACTGCCTCTACCAGTTAATCTTTTTTTTTTAATTGAGATATAATTCTTTATGGTAATTTTAATTAATTTTTTAATTGGAGGAAAATTGCTTTACAATGTTGTGTTGATATCTGCCATACAACAGCGCAAATCAATCATAAATATATATTTCTCTCCTCCCTTTTAAACCTCCCTCCCTCAATCCCATCCCACCCCTCTAGGTCATCACAGAACGCCAGGCTGGGCTCCCTGTGAACTTTACTCTTTTTAACTGGACTTCCTTTCTTGCTCTTTCAGAGAAGAACCTGTTAGCATATTCTCAAGATTTGTACTGGCCACAGCAAAGAAAATGGAAGAAGTTACACATCCTTTATCTAAAGACTTAATTTTCTGCTAAAATGTTTTATGACGAAGTTCTGATGCCATTCTTCTTTGGGATTATTTTTCCTTTTATGCTTCGGAAAGTATATTTGTATTTGTTGTTAGTCACTGGTGTTTTTTTTCTAGTCACCTTTCCCAAATCAACTCTATTTCACTTATCTTGAAAAACTGAAATAATAGCTTTAAGATAAATCCTAGTGATAAGTTCAGAGTCACCCAAGTCAATGGAAGAAATAGAGAAAAATGAGATAAATACGTCATTTTTGAAAGTCAAGATCCTCATATAAATGTTTTTTAAGCACTTAAAAATAACTGCAATATTTGCTTATAATGCTCAACAATATTGCAGTTATTGAATCAGAATGATAAATTCATTCATCTCTAAGTACTTCAATGCAAATTGAATTCTTCTAGCCTAGTGTTGTCCAATAAAGGTATAATGTAAGTTGCATATATAATTTAAAAAATTTAACAGCCAAATTAAAAAAGGGAAAGATAAATGGATGAACTTAATTTTAATAATACAATCTACTTAGCTCAGTATACCCAAACTATTGTATTTCAACATGTAATCGATATAAAATTATCAATGAGGTATTTTACATTCTTTCTTCACACTAAGTCTTTGAAATCTAGTATGCATTTTATGCTTACAGCACATCTGAATTTCAGCAGGCCACATTTCAATTTTTCAATAGCTACCTGTGACCACAGACAGGGCAGTTTTGGACATTAAAAGGTTAAGCTTGTAAGATGCCTTCTTAAATAAAGTACCCCAAAATATAATAAGTCATCAGATGGAAATACATACACCTACAAGTAATTGTTGCCAAGACAGAAGTGTGTTGAATATAAAGCTATTGATTTGTCAGTAATTCTATATGCTAAGAAACAGTTTTTCCTTTGACTCCAAACTATCCTTAAAGGACAGCATTGTAATTCAGTTGACGAATGAATGTGGATATTTGGAGGTGAAATGTTTTCATGGCATCCATGTTGAAATTTGATGAGCTTTCCTAAGCATTAGATCTTGATTTTGAGATATGCCCGTCATACCTCAACATTTATGAACACAGAACACATCTCACACAGTGAATGTGTACATTAGTTGTACATTAGTTGTACACAGTTGTACTTCTTTTTCTGAAACTTTATGTCCTTCTTAAATCAGAAGATGCTGTTGGACATTGTGTGGTTGTGTTTTTGAGAATGTGTTTCAGCATTTGAGAGATGCATTTCTTAGAGTTTCTATGGAAGATCAGAACTAAAAGGTGAAAATAGACAAATAAACAGGGGAATTAACTTGGTAAGCAAAGGTGAAGGAGATAAAGGACAGCTTTCAATTCCAGCTCCACTTAGTCTCAGGGAATATAAGTGAGTAAGATCTTATGGTACTTGACCTTGTTAATATCTACATACTGTTCTGCAGAGGCTGCTGGACTGAAATTTCCCATTTTTATGGTAGAAGAGCTAGCAATCTCTGGATGATGAATGTATTCTCTAAAAAGACAGCAAAATAACAGCTCATCCTGTGTGTTTTCTGGGGCTTCCCAGGTGGTAGTCAGTGGTAAAGAATCTGCTTGCCATTGCAGGAGATGTGGATTCGATCTCTGGGTCAGGAAGATCCCCTGGAGGAGGGCGTGACAACCCACTCCAGTATTCTTGCCTGGAGAATCCCATGGACAGAGGAGCCTGGTGGGCTACAGTCCATAGGGTCGCAAGAGTTGGACACGACTGAAGTGACTTATCATACATGCAGTGTGTTTTCTATACAACTGCCTTCCTCCAGAAGTCATTGAGAGTAGCTGGCCTACATTCACATAAAGACAGAACTAGACCCACAGTGAATTTGTTCTATTAGACCAAGCTCTAAATCCCTTTAGGCAGGAGAGATAAAGGAGCCAAGGAAAAGATGGTTGGGACAGAGAGCCAAATTTATAGTTCATTCTAAGTCTATTTGAATTACTTAAAATTATTCATCTTTTGTGGTAATAGTTCAACTCTTAGTTTTTATACATCTCACATTTGTCTTTTGGAGAATTCAAAACATTTTTAAAAATATCAATTGCAATAATGTTGCATGCCAAGGTAAATAAGTGATTAGAATCACTACAACATCAAGCTTGGTGAAAACACCTTATCATAACCCTAGTGTCTGTTTATTTCTCTTCTGTATGTGCAGACTGAACCTGGTCTCTCTCTCCACTCTCTAACAACCTGTGGAGTAAATTCTTATTGTGTCCTCACACTCTGTTAATCTTGAGCTGCTTCTGTTGTACGAGTTCCAATAAAGACATGGAAACATGAAAGGACCAGTTCATGGTGTCAGTCGATGGCATCAGAGAGCTCAGCGTGCCAGACTCTGACTCAGAATTCTTCCTGTTGGGAGGCGACCCTCTTATAAGGGTCAGGGTCCAGAGACCACATCATTGCCTCATGCTCCCTGTGT